GCCCCCGCCTCCTCCATCTTCCTGGCCTTCAGGTAGTCCCCCACCTTGTCCCCCGGCTCCCCCAGTTTCCTCTTGGAGGCGTCCAGAGTCTCCGCAAGGTCCTTGTACAGCTCCTTCCTGGGCTTCGGGCCTCTCTTTTTGGGGGTCTCCCCGGGCTTGTCCTCCACGCGGATCACCCGCTCCCGGATGCCGTCTGCCTTGGGGGTGCTGCTGCTGGAGCTGCCCTGGGGGGCCAGGGCTATGTTTCTCAGTCCTTCCCTAGCCCGGGACGTGGAGCCCAGCTCCTGGGGGGACCTGCCGGGATACGGCACCCGGATGCCCCTGGAAGAGTCGCTGCGGAACTCATAGGTTTTGGCTTTGGCTTTTGCCTGGGCCTGCAAAGAAGATAAATCACCCGGTGACTTTATTATCCTGCCATCCGGCTGGGTAATTGCAACTTACAAGAGGCCACCTTTGAGGGAAGCATCCTCCGAGGGGGCTGGAAAGGGACCCCTGCCCTGGCCTGGAGCCCTGGCACGCGGGCTTCGGCCTCCTTACCTTTAGCAGGAAGGTTTTGGGCTTGGGGCCTCGCTTTTTGGGCCCATAAAGCTCCATTTCTCGCTCCCTAGAGGTGTTAAAAGAACCAAAGCTTCAATTCAGCATAGCTACAAGACAGCAACATATTTACAAGCGCAACTGCTACAGCTAGTAAAGGCCTTGTACCTCTCCTCGAAGGCTGCGAGCAGCCGGGCATCCAGGATGTTCTCCTCGGGTTCCCAAGTGCTGTACCTGGGGGCAAGGCGGGACGGAGAGAGGGAACAGAATAAGGAGCCAGGAGGGAGCAAGACAAATAAAATAAAAAACCAGGGTCATAAAGGTTCTGGTTGTGGCACAAAGAGAGAGCAGGGGGTGCAGCCAGCATCCCCCCAGCCCCTGCTGCAGCCCCCCGCGGCCCCACGGGCCACTTACTTCTGCGACCAGCCCTTCCATTTGACCAGATATTCCATGCGGCCCTGCGGATGGGAAGCGAGGGAAATAAATATGCGTGGAGCNCGGGCTCTCTGCAAAGGGAAGGATGCTCCGGCCCCGGCGGCAGCGGGAGCACAATCAGCTCAACCCCCTCCTCCCTCATCCTCCAACAACACCGTGCCAGCACCGGAACCAACGCATCGGCTCTTCGTTAAAACGAACCAAGTTAAAAACCTCAATTTTACAAAAGATGTCTTAAAAAAAAAAAAAATTAAAATGAAAAAGAAGAAAGGAAAACCAAACTGGGAACTGTCAGACACGATGGCTCCCTTTGCACAGCCAGTCCAGCATCCTGCCAGGCACCTCTCGGGTCCCAACAGAAGGATGGGGAAGGGAACGGGGCAAGGTGAAGCTGCCGAAGGGCCCTGCAGCAGAGATGGCCCTTGCCCAGCCCTTCCTTCAGCCTGTGGGAGCTCCCTGGGCCTTCAGGAGCTCAGGGATGAGGGGCCCTGGCTCAGTCCCAGCCCTCAGGCACTGCCGGGCCTGTGCTTCCCATCCCACTGACAGCCAGAGTAAGGTGTGCGGAGGACAGGGCCACCTGCTCCACCTCAGCCTGCCACAGCCAGGCCAGGCTCCCTCCCCGTGCCAGGGTGGCCAAGCTGGGGGAGCAGCAGAGCAGGGGCACCCCCAGCCCCACAACCCACAGCCAAACTGCTGCAGCTCGTCCAGAGCCCCCAGAGCCTCCCTATCCCAGCCAGGGAGGGATCCCAGCTCCGGATCCCAGCTCTGGATCCTGGCCCAGGAAGGGATCCCAGCTCCGGATCCCAGCTCTGGATCCTGGCCCAGGAAGGGATCCCAGCTCCAGATCCCAGCCCCAACAGGGATCCCAGCTCCAGATCCCAACCATGGGAGGGATCCCATCTCCGGATCCCAACCATGGGAGGGATCCCAGCTCCGGATCCCAGCCCTGGAAGGGATCCCAGCTCTGGATCCCAGCCCTGGGGGAATCCCACGGGCAAATCCAGCACCAAATCCACCCGAGGCAGCGGGGCTGCCCCCACAGGGATATTTCGCCTCTTGGCTATTGTTTAACCACTGCAAGGAAAGGGACATATTTATTGTCTCTGAATGCACAAAGGTGACCCTGGGATTCGTCAGGGATGTGGATATTACAAAACACTTCATCAGGAGTCTTCCAACAGTCTGAAGTAAACTGTGATTGGGAATAAAAATAATGATAATAATAATAATTATCCACTTTCTGTAGCAGAATAAAGTAACTAAATATGGGCAGTGAGATGTTCCCTCCCCAACCTCTCTGGCATTTCAGGAATGTAAACAGAGGGGGGTTTTGTTGGGGTTTTTTGTTTTTAGTGGATGGGGGAACAGAATCAAGCGACCAGACAAAATGAAAACAGATATACTCAGCTCAGTCCCATCTCCCACAACTGCTACGACAACTCTATTAAAGTGCATTTCAGTATCATCCCTCAGGAACCTTACACACACAAACTCCTCTCCTCCGCAAGAAAAGGGAATTCAAGTTAATACTTCAACACTTTTAGCCTTTTTATGGATTTCTGCTTTTCCCCGCCCCGACTTTGTAGCAACATGACTTTTTTTGTTAGACTGGAAACACCCCATCCCCAACAACACTGTGAATTCAAGTGCTCACGTCAACTGTCAAGGGCAACAGTCCTGGACACAGCACACTTGATTGTACAAGCAACACCTTAAATCACAATCAAGAAATCCGGGCGCTCGGCCCTGCGAGGGAGCAACACGTCCCCCTCCACCATCCATAGCATCATATGAAAAATAATAGTTAAAAAAACCCAGCACATACTTAGCTATGAACACTGTTATGTACACCGGCTCCTGCGGCAGATGCGTGAACTCGTTAGTTCTCAGTTTTATTGTCCTTTCTAGGAGCAACTGAGCAGTCACTGTTGTCTCCATTTAAATAAAACAACTCAGAGTTGAAATATATATATATAGATATATATATATAAGCATTTTTTCTTAAATAACATATTTACATCTAATAGAAAATATAACTCTAGAGATAATCTTTCCAACGAAATGTAAGACGTGAAAAAAAAAA